TAAGTTTTGTAGTCGACGGGATTCCATTTGATGATGATGGCGAGAAGCCAGACGAAGGAGAACCATGACTCGCAGAGAAAGGCCATTGTTTGGAGGTAGGAGAAGCCATGGCTGGACAAAAACATGAAGCGGTAACCCACAAGAGAAAGCAAGAGGAAGAAGATGGCGAAATCCAATGCTCTTTGGGTAGGCCTTTTGATGGCTGTTTTTTCATAAAGAGACAGAGATTTGGCCATTGGGTAATACAGAGAATTAAGGAGAAGCTTTTGTCTGTTCACTCTTGTATTACTCTTGTATTGCCTTGAAACCACAACTCTACCAGAAGCAATATAAATTGCTTTGAAAAGGAAAATACTTAGGTTTCTCTCTTTCTTTTTATTTCTTTCCTGATTCTCAAATATTTAATAGTTTTTGTTTATTTCTTGATTGTCAAATATTTACCAATCAAATATTTAATAGGTAAAGATAAAACTTATCCAAATAGTAGGATAAAGACCTTTAACTATGGTTGTCAAGAAATCATTAGGTATGCATCCTTCCGAAGTTTTAGAAACTTATTTACACAAATGTTTAAATTTTTATAATTTTACATTTTAGATTTTTACTTTTACACTTTTGCATCTAGTATTTTATTTTAATTCTGATTCTACTTTTATTTATTGCATTTACATTTATTATAATTATTTATTTTTTTTAAATATAAAAGATTTAATTCCACAAATTATTATCATAATTCTTTAACTATTGTGGGCCTCATCCTAATTTTCAATACAAATTTCTTAATTCACTGCTTCAAAACCTTAAATTACTCATTCAAATTGATTTTCCATTAATTCACTCGCACATTGGTCCAATCTTCAAACACAATTCAAAATCACATAAGAATCTTTTGAAGTCTCAATAAACATATATCCGCATATTCAAAATCATAGTATATATCCACTTACGTATCTGCATATATACATTCAAAATCACTATAGTATATATATGCATATCTGCATATATACAAGTTGAATTATAAGATATATCATAATCAAATCACTATACTATATATCCTCATATATACAATATTTCACACCAAATCGGAAATTGAAAACATTCGTTGGAATGCAAACCTTCCAATCTGAAGATGAACTGCTCTAGCGACTGAGAAAAATGGAGCCGGCCGGAGATGAAGACAGGCAGACATTGGCCAAAGACGAAGGCAGGCAGAAATGCCCGAAGAATAAGAACCGACAAAAATCTCTTTTCGAAGGTGGTCGGAGATGAAATGCTCTTGCGACAAAGAAAAGCGGAGCTAGCTGGAGAGGAAGGCAAACGATCGGAGAAGAGGAACGGATGGTCGAAGAAGAGGAACAGACCGTCGAAGAAGAGAGGAACGGACGGTCGAAGGAAGAAAATAAAAACTAGGAAGAAGAAATTGGTGGATTTAAAAAATGGATAGGTTTTTGGAGTTTTGGGATTTTTTAATTTTGGAAGGTATCATTAGCGGATTTCACCTCCCAATTTACTAATTATAAATTTTAATAATTATTTAATATTGAGATGAATATTAAGGATATACTAGTCATTTGTGTTATGGGTACCATCTAATTAGGGATTGTTTCATGACAAGAAGTGTAAATTCTATACTTTTCCCTCATTTTACGTAATTATGATTTCTAAATAGATCATTTATGTACTTGGGATAAAAGAGACTTACTTGAGTAATTAGTGAACCTATGAGAGATTTTTATACTTAATTTCTTTGATTAAGATTAAGGAGTCTATTTTCTATTTTAATAAATGATTCCTTATTTTTAGTTCAAATTTTGTAAACCCTTGACAAATTAAAATTAAAGATTTAAATAAAGCATTTGTTATTATATATATATATATATATTTTGTTAAAACTTACAAGTAATCTCAAACACTTTAATAGAATTTAGAAATTAAACTCAACCATTGAATGTTTCTTTTCTCTCTTTTGAAGAAAATAACTACTGAAACAAAAAAAAAAACAAAAAATCAATGGTTGAAATTCGAAACTTCACAAAATAAAAAAAAAAAATGGAATCATTCATGTGAGACCTTCCATTCAAAGTGACCATCATCTAATCTACGTGTCCTGTGAAAGAGTCATAGCAATTTGAGACGATAGTGTCAAACATCGAATAAAAGAAAGTAGCATAATTTTTCATTGAATAATGTTAGAGAATAGACTACCATTAAACTTTTTATAAATAAGATAGAGAAATACAAAAACAAATAATCTTTTTATTTTTTAGTACAACATGTTGAGGAACGAGGATTTGAAGTCACAACTTCTTTGTTGAAGGTATTTGTCAACTACCGTTGAACTATGCTTGCTTTGACAAAAATAATCATTTTAAAAAATAATGAACCATCGATTTTTCAATAACAGTGAATATAGAGATCGGATTTAATTATTATCAATTAAACAGGCTGTGGGTATCTATTATTAAATTTTTTACAACTATTTATTGTTGAAAAAAAGAAAGAAAAAATATATCCTCTCTCTCTTCTAGATGCTTTCCCACTCTAGCATCACACTGGGATATTTACATAACCGGATAGTAGGTAAACTTGTAAATATTACTCTTTTTTTAAGGCTAAATATATGATTTCTAATCTTTTCTGTTTTTCTTTTAATTTATTGTTTGATTTTTTAAAATTCTCAAAAGTACAACAAACAAAATACGATAGAGAGATTTTGTCTTCCAACCCACAAAGAACCATTAAATTTATGTTGGCAAAAATTTACTCCTAATATATTATTAATAAAAAGTTGATGCTTCATTAAATTGTCATTTTGTTGGACATGTAGGTATTTGACATGCCACAAGTAAGAAATAGTTTTTATTCATGGACAAATCGAGGGATTTGTTACTCTGTTTACCCTATTTGATCATTTGTTAATCATATTTTTATTTCTAATTATATTTTATTTATCAATGTTAATTATATTCTTTAAGAGTTTTTTAGTATGATTTTCAATAATTTTTCTTGTTTAAATTTTGTTTTAAAATTTAATTTAATGAATATATTTCCTTAAATTTTTAGTATAAATCTCAAAAAAAAAATAGTTAGAAAAATATTTGGACTAGAAAATATAGATAAAGATTCTCAAAATATTTAAATTATCTTATAGAAAAAATGTATATAAGATTTTTCTAAAAAGATGAAAAATAATATATTTATTTTAAAATGATTTGGAGGGATAATTTCGTATCTAAAAAGTAGACATCTCGTTTCTTTTTGCATCGGTAATTTTTTCAAAACTAATAGTTTCAACAAAATTGCTTATTTTAAAATGTAATATTTATTGATATCTATCTCTTTTTGCCGTCCGATGTAGAAGAGTACGAATTCACTATTTGGAGTCCATTTTCTTCCACATGAAACTGACAACGATGGGCCATTTTTTGGCAATTGGACTCTGAATTGGACCGATACTGTGCCACAATTAATGACTGACGTTTTTTCTTTTCTTTTATTTTTTTGATAAAAATGGGTGACTGATGTGGTGTAGTCACCTTCCAGATATTTTAATTTTGGAAAACTCAAAACTTTATAGATTGAATTTGTTGTAATTGGGACTAGGTGAGTGGTGCCCATATCGGCTCAGGCTCATTTATGATGTCTGAATTCGCTAAAGTAAAGAAAAACACCCAAAATAAATCTCTCTCCAAAATGGTCGATAATTCCAAAGGGCCTTCTTCCACCCAGATGGTGTTATCCTTCTTTGGCAACCCCCACCTGGCCAAAAAATGAGCAGTCTCATTTCCTTCTCGTTTTGTAAAATTGTAAGTTGTATGGAGCTGATTTGCTATTCATTTCTTATCCTTGTGAAGAATCATCTCGACCTCTGATAAATCTTCTTCATTACGCTGAAAAAGATTGAAAATTCACAGAGAATCCATCTCGACTTGGATCGGAGAAATTCCATAATTCATTGCTAGCTTCAGACCCCCCTCCGCGGCTAAAGCTTCAACAACATCCACCGGCATGATCCAGGTATTTAGTTTCAACCGCTATAACTTGTCCTTTCGAATCTTTGATAATAATCCCTAGCCGGTTGTGTCTCTCGGCTAAAGTAATTTAATCATTGTTAAGATGTCTAGTACACCCTCTACTTGTGGACTTGTTCCCTTCCAAAATTCAAACTCATTTCAATCCAAACTAAACTAAATTTTTATGACCGTTAAACTATACAAAATATGATAGATCTATATGCTTGGTTTTAACTTTATCAAATGACAAAAAGTAGAAAGCTTTATTTTTAAAGGAAACAAACATGGTGTAAGAAACAAGACCGTAAAGTCTTGGTTAATTCATTGTTGTTCTGTGGCATAAATGCACGAACACAGATGCCATGATAACTGACTTGTAGATAGTGGACAATGGAAGTCCATAACTTCCTTTACAAAACATACCCTTCAAAAACGGCCAAAAGCATAAAACCAACCACAAACTACATATCATCTCCAGCACTCCACTCCTCGCCTTCTCCCCTATCAAACTGATAAGCAACGCAATAACGTGCACCAACAAAATGGTTGTGCCCATCACAAATATCGGAGATTCATCGAATGTGAAATGTCCCGGTCTTTCCATCATCTTTGGAAGAAGATGTCTCTTTCTTTGTTACTTCAAACACAGTTTCTGCTATACCCAGAAACTTAAGAAYCACGTTYACTACTCCAAAAAACCATGCACACATTGTGTTTATCCTTCCCATTCTCTGRTTGTTCCACCACGCTCTTATTGATTGACCTGTTTCGTAGTATTGCAGCAATTGTTGGAAGTTGTAAACGATGAAGAGGGAAATTGGGATGTAGATTGTTGGCTCTTGCACCTGTAGGAAAAACTCACATGAATATAAGTCTTTTAGAAAATATATATAAACGTGATTTGATTTGTACTTACATTAGGGAGGAAATGAGAGTTTGTGATGAGACAATAGGCTGGCAGCGCCGCATAGCAAAGCTCTGGAATGGAACGAAGGCCCCAAGTAAGGAGCCAAAGATAAGCTGCACACTGCTTGAATTGGAGCTTTCCAAACAAAGTGGCAAAAACAGGGCAGTTTTTACTGAATAAAATTTCAAGCAATCCTGTGGCCCATCGCTTTTGTTGTGTGAGGGAATTAGGAAGTTGTGATGGTGCACAACCTAAGAAGGCTGGTGGATCTAAGGCAATGTAAATAGATCTCCACCCTTTTTTTTGAATCATCAATCCTGTTTGGATGTCCTCCGTGGTAGATCCATAGATCCACCCTACCTACAATTCAATCCAACACCATTAAAACAATCATTTGGGCTCTGTTTATTTAGGACTTTGATGACTTTTACCCTTTTTTTTTTGTTTATTCACTTCTAATATAGAAAAATAGAATTGTATGATTCCTACACCCATGATCAAACAATATTAATATTAATATTTTGTACCAAATTGGAAATAAAAACAAGAAAAAAGAAATTTGCTTTCATTGTTTCCAAAAAATCTATACAATTTTGACAATGTTTTGAAAAATTGAAGAAAAAGAAACATAATTAGTTGCTATGTTTAGTAATAAAAATTGGAAATTAGAAACAACGAAGGAAAATATTACCAAACTAGCACTAATATTTCCGTTTCTTATTTCTCGTTTCTAAATTAACTATTTATTGTTTTGGTTTTCAATATGTAAATTTTAAAAACAACAAAAACATTTCTAATTTGTAACAAAACATAAATACAAATATTGTTTAATGATTTTAAATCTATGGAGGTTGGGAGCCTACAATTCAATTTTTTTCCTACTAAAAAGAAAAGAACAGAAACAAAAAGCTAAAACATTTACAAACCAACCCTAAAAAATCACTAATCTTGATAGTTAGCTCAGAATCAAACTGAAATAGAATTAGAAATAATTTAGGAAAAACCTTGGAACCCCAACAAGTCCCATTCTCGTAGCCACATCGAGCCACCTGATTTGCTGCTTCAACATTGTCCAAAAGGGATTTGAGGTGCGCATTTTCATTGAAAGCACAAGTTGCTGACACAATGAAAGCTTGTGAATATCCAAACGACTTGAGCAATTCTTTCTCAGAAGTTTTTTCTACAGATTATAAATAAATGAATAAACAAATATTCATGAGATTATATTAATTGGGAATAAGATCCCAAAAAATAAAACAATTGTAAAGTTACCATTGATAATATTTGTACTGTGGTGAGGTGATTGGCCATATATAATTTTTCGTCTGTGGAAACAGCCAGTACCACTGTACAAAGGTCCTTGAAGTCCCGTGATCCCACGTGCGACGTACTAGCATCACCAACAAACACACACATTACCCTCTTTCTAATGTTTGAATTCATTTTTGTTGGACTAAAAAATATTAATACAACTCTCACATGTATATTAAATCGTAAATAATTACCTCGTATATGACCACAAGTTGATTTCCATAAATGTCATCTTTCATTCCATCGTAAAAACATTGGGGAGATTGCACAAATCCTATCTCTTTAAAGTCAACTTCCGAGTTGAAGAATACGCACATTGCATGCTTAACCACTCGAGGATTATTAGCAAACATGTCACAATCCACGTTGAGCAGGTATGGAGCATTTGTTAATAATCCCGACACTCTTGTCTACACATTAAATTATATAAATTTGACATGGTTTTTAAACTTTTACGATTAAATTTTGGTATATATTTATAAAGCATATTTTAAATTACCAGAACGTTCATAGCACCCGCTTTGTAGTGATGAGATGTTTTAGGCTCTTCTCTCTGGATAGATAAATGAAATGTGTAGCTCTGAAGCACTTTTTTTATTCTCCCATAGTATCTGCAAATAAGAGTAATAAATTATGGGTGACAAAACAATTTTAACCACATTCTTTGTATTAATTGTATTACATCTAGAAGTKATTCTCCAAATGTCAAATTACCATAAAATCATTTCTAATCAACAAATTACCTTTTCAATTTAATTGTCTCAAACTAATTTTTACTTGTAACCAAACACCCTATAAAAAGAATTATAATTACTTTTAGCCCTCTATAATAATTTTAAAATTTGGCAGTTAGATTATAAATATCAATCATTATCATTTTCTAGTAGGGGAAAGGAGAAGGGGTCACATGAGAAAAACCAACACTAGAAATGGTAGGGGATCTTTTAATGATTTACCCAAGTTTTTGGGAGTATATTGAAAAATTACAAGGCACTATACAAAAAAGACCAAATTAAAACAAAATTTAATTTTAACTTTCAACCAAGCATGTTTAAAAATCAGCTAAATTAGCTTTATTTATTTCGTACTTTCCTTATGTGGTGAAGTTGAAGTACCTTTATTATGGTGGGATGATTTTTGGTGTCAATATTGAAGAAATCAGCCAATTCCTCTCCAAACTCACGTGAACCATTTATGGTTTCTTCTGCTTCCTCGATTTTGCCTTCCAACAGCTCATATTCCTCCTTCGTTTATCATTAAATTACATAATCAAACAAAAACCAGTAAGCCAACAAACAAAAAAAAATGGCTGCGTCAGTCGTCACTGTCACTTACCTTCATCATTTTCCACTCTTTTTTGAATTCTGCTGGCTTTTCCAGATGATGGGGCAGTTTTAAGCCATTCAAGAAGTATCTGAACGGAGCACGAACTTCAACCTCATACCTTTTGCAAAACAGAACCCAAATCTTCGCAAATTTTAGTGCTTCTCTCAGACAATAGAACGTCACCGGAGAACACCCGTCGTCGGAAACATAGCAAGCCAGCTTATTCGCCGGATAATCCATCGCCATCAAAGACAGCACCGTATTCACCGTTATTATCGGCGGTTCCAGCACCGGATCCGCCGTCGTCACAAATATGTCCACTGCCGGAAGCTCCACCTCACTATATATCATTTTAACCCTCAAGATTAAAACTTTTAAAATTTTCCCATTTGCTCTGATGTGGGTACAAATTAAATGAAAAAATAATTGTGGGTTTAATTACCGTTTGAGGAGGCGATGAGGGTAAGTTTTGTAGTCCACGGGATTCCACTTGGTGATGATGGCGAGAAGCCAGACGAAGAAGAACCATGACTCGCAGAGAAAGGCGATGGTTTGGAGATAGGAGAAGCCATGGCTCCAGAGAAACAGGAGGCGATAACCCACAAGAGAAAGCAAGAGGAAGAAGATGGTAAGATCCAATGCTCTTTGGGCATGCCTTCTAATGGCTGCTTTTTCATACAGTGGGTCAGATTTGGCCATTTGGGAAATAGAGAGAATTGAGGAGAAGAAGCTTTTGTATTGATATGTATGGATTCTAGTGATGGGTGTCGATATTTAAAAGCTGAGTTTTTGAGTGGTGGCAGTGGCAGCGTTCGAAAAAAGATCACCTTTTATATAAAACGATTTCTATTTTAAATTTCTATTTTATGATTTTTCAGTTTTCCTCTCCCGACAAACAAAAGTCATAAATGAATTTTGTAACTAAAGAAAAATATACAAAATAAGGATGACAATCGTGTTGGGTGTTGGGTGGAAGTCCAAATGTCTCCATCCAATCTGGGTCCTCTCAGAAATTTTTTATCTTGATCTCCACCCCATTTTTCGAGAATCAAGGTCGAGAATCAAGGTCGAGAGGTTTAGGAATCCTCAGCATGTTTTGTAAGATTTTATATTTTAAAAAAGTTAGAAAATTAAAAAAAAAACATTTTATATTTTAAAAAAATTAGAAAATTAAAAATATATGCTAGAGAGAGAAAAATATACACAACTAGGATGACAATCGTGGTGTTGGGTATGAGTCCAAATGTCTCCATCCAATCTTAGTCCTCCCAGAAATATCTTATCTCGATCTCCACCTCATTTTTCGATTATGAGACTTGGAGAGGTTTACAAATCCTTATTTGGTGGGAGATCTTGTATCAGAATGTTGACCTGAAATTGATAAGTTAGACCATCTTTAAATGATTAGACAATATTGTAATTTTTTCCATTCTCTCTCTTCCCTGGCTCCCTTCTTCTGCTCGGAGTTGTAAAGATTCAAGTTCGGACCAAGGAGCAAATTTTATCTTGTTTTCTCACAGAACTCCCAATTTCAAATCCCATCTCAAACTGCTCCCGTTAAACGGCACATCACGGCCCTCTCCTCCCTCTTCAGTCTCACTCTGTCATCCTTCAACCCTAATTCCCACATCACGTTCTCCTACGACGACGCCTTCACGCTATCCTTCTTCTCGAATTCCCTTCACGCGCCACCACCGCTGCAGACTCTCTCCCTTTCCTCATAACTACTCAATGAAAAGATTTGGAGCAACTAATCTAAAGAAGATCAAAGCCTTTTGACGACGAATAATTAAGAAATCTTTAATGCGAATCCAAAAAAAAAAAAAAAGACAAAACAAAGATCAGTATGCAATTTTGGAAATGGCAGGTCTTCGGGGTCCAATTTGAGTTTTTGGAAACGTATTAAGAGATTTCGAGAAGAAATGGAGCAACCTAGTAGAAGGGAAGGAAATAATAAATATCGTCAATGATCTAAAAATTGTCTAAACTTCGGAGGTCAAATTGTCGTTTTCTAAAACTTAGGGATTAAATAGAGATTAACTTTAAATTCAGGACCAAATATATTTTACCTACAATTTTTTATCTGTTTTAGTTAAAAGTTATTATTTCCTAATATAAATAATTAGTTTTAAAAATATTTAATATGTTATTCATAATTTAGTAAAATAGTTAATAAAAATATTTGTTAGTTATTTAAAAAATAGAATCTATAACAGAATTGTGACATGACGGAAAATGCATTCACTATTCTTTGAGCTTGAGCTGAGTAGTCTAATTTACAAGAAATTTTGTTATCGAAATATAAAAATAAATTTTAGAGAGATAACAGAAAAAAATAAAAATTTTAGTGGGAGAAAAAGTACAAGATAAAAATTGAAATTTTAGAGACAATAAAGTTGGAAGAGAGAAAAATAAAAATTACATTGATAAAAGAGATGGCCGAATCACTTTTTCATCTTCATCTTAGTTTTAATGGGCATAAATTATTGAAGACACGTGGGCCAATCCTCGAGCACCACATAGGACAAGAGACCCGAGTCTGACTAATCATAAATTGGAAAAACTGATGAGCAATTTTCAAACGAGATAAAGACATACTGCTTTAGTAACTTTTTTTTTTTCCTTATGAGAATGAGAGGTTTAATATTTCATTCAACTAAACTGATATTCTATTATATATTTCATGATTAAATGTATACATTGTACTAATGTTAGCAAGTGTTTTAGGCTTGTAGACATCTCTCGGCTTTTTTTGTCTTGTTTTCTATTTTTTCCCTTGTTTTTGTTTTTATTTATTTATTATATCTTTATTTTTTAGGGGTTAGACATCTTGGCTTTGTATTAAACGACATTGATTGGATTATATTAAATGATAAGTTTGACTAAAGTCGTGAAACATTATTTTCCCAATCGTCAAAGGATGGATGGCTAATACAAGGCGTGAACGAAAATTATACCAAAAGTATTGACTCTTCTAACAAGATTCGCAATTTGCAATCTAATCAACCAAATTAATTACTTAAAGTACAAAGAGAAAAAACGAGAATTTTAAAGTTGTTTGAAAATTCTCACTCCACCTTCTAAATTTCTTTTGGAGTATTTTAGTGCACTAGCTTTCTTGTGGGTGACAACAAAATCCATCGAGTATCATTTTTTGAGCTCAAGAGTAAACATTCTACCAATTYTTTTACAGGTTCAGGATCTAAATTACATGGATATTTTTTACTGGTTCATGATTGAACCACTATGACCCTTCTCACTCGTTCAGGGTCAAACAACTCTCACAATCCCRATGTACACTCGCAGCTTTAAGACATAATACCAATTGAAAATTTAGATTTGGAGAGTAAAAAATATAAGAAGATGGATGATTTTTACTTGGGTAATTGGTGAGGAAAAAGATAAATTTGGTGGCTTCAAATATGAATTGTTGTATGATCAAAGTTTTAAATATATAAAAACATAGAGGTTTTAATTTCATAAAAATATCAATAAAATGTTGATGTTTTAAAAAAAATTATAAGAAAAGTCATAACTAATATTTAAACARACACATTTCACTCGTTTTAAATAAGTTAAAAATTATTAATATTGACATTATGTCTACATTAATAATACTTTGTTGACATTTTGTYGATCTTTTTTAGTCATGTTATAGAAATATTGATTTATCCTATATCAATATCGAATAATGAACATATATATAAGAATATGATGAAATATAAATGAAAATTTAATATCTGGGTCTAATGATAACCATAAGGTTGTTTTTTTTATTAATGTTTGTTTATTCAACTCACGAGTCTTTTTCTTCTTATTATCAATCACTTCCTTTTTTTTTGGCGAAATATCAATTTGTTTAGCAGAAAGACGGACATTCCTTGCTCATTATCAGACAATCACTTATTCACAAACCTGGTGTGGGGCTAATAGTTTTCATTTCCGATGAAAAACCCTTTTCGCTCCGCTGACTTTTCTTATTAATGAGATATGTTTCTTGAGTAGTTTTAATTGCATTTCTCTTCCGATCCGTTTTTTGTTTTCTAGTTTTCTGTCATTTTGTGGTTTTGTTTTTATCGTACTGTCGGACATTAAATAACTTTTTAAAGTTAARTTTAGATTTATAGCGTCATTTGTGACGTATCTTTTCTTTTATATATACTTTTAAATTTTTGTCGTTTGTTACGTATCAAATTRCTATAGGACCGAGACTATTTAATTTAAAACAAAAATTTGGCGATGATATTGACCCTAAGTTGTAATTACCTACGGGAATATCGTAGTGGCTAGTTGGCATTTTTAATGAGGTTGTTAAAATTGTTTGCTGTTGTATAAATCTAAAAATTAAAATAAATATAAAAAATTCTCCCTTAGGGCAATGTGGAGTAACCCAAAATCTCAGGTAGATTGAGGTACAAATTTATCCCATTCTAAAAATATGAACTCTAATGCTCAGATTTATTCTTGAATGTTAACGAAGAAAAATCCAATAATTTTTTTGTGACTACCAGAGTGGACGATCGAACTCACAACTTCTTACTTGAAAATACCTGTCAAATTAATGCTGAGTTATATTTGGCAATCCAATAATTTTCTTATTAAATATAAAAAAYCTTAACTTCTTTTTTCATTTTTTATTTAAGGAAAACCATCGCTCTAGTTTGAAAGAAAGATCAGAAGATTATTTTTATAGCAAAAATTAAGAAATAATATTGCACATATGGAACGATTTTTTAAACGGCTCATAAACATATCTCTACTCCACATTTCTATTAGTCATAAAAAAATTATAAAGTAATTACTATTAAATTTTAGTACTAATTCTTTTGTTTTTTTAAGAATTATAATTGTTTTATTTTATAATAGAAGATAAATTTTAATGAGTAACAGTTTTTGAAAAGAAAAGAATATCTTTTAGTATGGTATTTATATTTAAAAAGATGAAGTATTTATTTTAGAAAATAAATCAATTTTAATAAGAAAGATTTATTTAAATTTGTTTAAAATGATAAATAATAATACAGCATTCTATTGGTTAAAAAAGAAAAAAARAAGCTCCATTATGAAAATTTGAACCCAAAAATTAAGGAGAGGACTCTGACAGCTCCACCAACTAACTATTATTGGTTCATATAAGTTATATGGATAAAGAGACTACAATACAAGGTGATGGTCATGTAGTACGTCATCTCTTGAAAATATTGACTGTCAAAAGACAAAATGCTTCTGATTTTTTAGAGAAGTTTTTGGAAAATAATTTTGTAAGAGGGGTATTGTTTTGAAAATAAATTTCATAATTAACGATATATTTTTTTTTTAGGGGTGCGGTTCGAACTACCTCTTGATCAGAGATAGATGCCTTAGGAATATTTTAAAATGTTGTATTTATAAAATCTCGTTTTGTGTACTATATTTATCATTACAGCAAAGCTATTTACAAGCCTCGATTACAGGAAAAAGTATTGAAGGCATGTATTATTGCATATAACTGAGGGAGATTTTAGTAAATTCTGGAAGAGGAGTTATTCACCCCCACATTGGAAAGGAGGGCCCAACATGAATGGACGATCCAATAGTTAACAACAGTGGGCTTCACACGCTATGGGCCTTCAACATTTCAACTGCTCAGCCTCTTGTTTTGGGCTCGGCTCTGCCTTAATGTTCCACTATTGCCCATCAAGAATTATACAAATTATGCTAAATGTCTTTTTTCTTTTAATTTTTCAAAAAAATATACAAAAGTCTACACTTTACACTTTACACCAGATAGAAGAGAACCTCAGTGTATTTGAGTTAATTAC